AATATATTTATACAACAAGTCCAGATCCGAATGATTCTGTTTAATGAAATACAAAACAGCCAGTTGATTTTAGGCATTAAAGTCTCATGAGAGAGCAGCTGTGTTTAAGGGTTTAAGTTAAGCTACATCAGCAGCTTCACCGAAATGTGCGAATTACTGAATCGTTTCCTGGTCACAGCTGTGCAATCGGTAGATAAGGACATAGACTATTTTGTACACATCCATGCCCCTCCCTCTAGATGGTATAAAAAATTGAGGTCTTGAAAGTGACAGAGTCTAATTGCAAAAGTTATTGTGGATATGTACATCGATATGACACATCGACGTCCTCATGAAAGTTTTACTCAAAAGTGTAACCTAGTTGTGCAACAAATGCTGGGTCTTTGGACGTCCGGTCCAGCTCAGCTTATGTCCAAGTCTAGTCTAGCTAATACCTAGGTGGTGCTAGATAGGCAAGAGATTCCTACCAAAAAATTTGGTTACGTTACGATGTGTGAAAAAACCTTTTCGTGTAAATGCATCTGTAGCATAAAATGAATGCTCTGAGCGAAAAAAAATGAAAACTGTTATACGCTTGTTCAAAACATAAAAGCCCTTAACAGTCTATTTTGGATAACAATTTTTTACATCAATCAAAAAGATACATAAAAAGACAACGGTGTCCCTCAATAGATTATATCAAATACGTATAATACAATAAGATGCAACGGGTTTCAAAGTTTATAATTAATTAACAGATTCATAATTTCTTTTATTTTGCTAAAATGAATATGAAAAATAGATTTTTGCTAACCTAATTTTTATTTCAATAAAATTTAAAGTACGACATTATTAGACAACACTTCTAGCGACAAAAGCTAATGGAGTACAGCTATAACTTATTTCATTCTAATTAATTTATTCCGCGAATGTTCTGAAATGCAATTGTATAAATATTCAAGTTGTAAAATAATTTTACTTCTATGGAACGGAGTTTTAAAATATTGCCTGAAGTTTAATAGAGACAATGCTAAAATAATTTTTTAAAGACTACATATTTTTATTAACGTTATTCTTTAGCCAAGAATGGTTTTTTCTATGTTTACTTTTCTGATAAATTTTAACATGTCTTTTTATTTAATTACAAACACTTTGTAGCAAAGTTTATAGTAAAATACATTTTTGTTATAGTATTCTTTGTAAGTACTACCTAAATCTTACACTGTCTAATGCAAATCTAACACCTGAATAGCTTCAAACTAATATGCAGTTGGTATCAGAAAGTACAGAATATTTTATAATAATTTAATTTCTGAAAAAATATTTTTTAAATTCTTCGAAAAGTTTTTAAGTTAAAGTCGCTTAAAATAAGTTGTAAGAAGAATAATGAAATAAAATAAAATAATATTTCATAAAAAAATATTCAACGAACGTTACTTAAAAGATATGTTGACAAATAATGTTTACACTATAAATTGGCTTTAAAATAAAAATATGAGTTGCTGTCAGACTATTGGCCGACATCAATTAAGTTAAAAATGAACGGCAATTTTGAATGTTATCTACTATTTGTAAAAAATACTTTACTTTGAGGAGTAGTAGGAGTAGCAGTAGTTTTAGTCTTAATTTATCATATTGAATTCACTTTGTGACTTAGATCAAAACAATCGGAAATAATAATTTAGTGCTGTTGAAATATTAGAAAGTTAAACAAACTATTTGTATGTTACTTCAAATAAAATACCTATTAGAAAATGGAAAAATATATGACTACAGCACTATGTTTATCACTTCAAAAATTCGCTTCTATTAAATATACGTATTTTTCGGATTTTGATAAAACAAAATCACAGTTTGATTGCTCAAATAACTAATTCACTTTTAACGATTCGATGGATTAGAAATTTTCACTTCGTTTATTATATTGAGTTAGGCGGCAGGTTGTCTATTATTCACTGGTAGTATAAAAAAATATCTCTTTCTCTAATTGTCTAAGCTAATGAGAAACATTTTTAGGCCCAAATATTTTTTATCAAATATACGTACAAAACTACGAATTCCTTTAACGAACTGGTTTTTTTTAATTTATAATATTATAAATATATATACCCTGCATATATAGCAAATAAACAAATTATTTTACTCGATAAATAAAATCAAGTTACCGTAGTTTTGGTTTCAAATCGCCCATCAATTTATCAACAATCAAAATTAATATGAGTGTACAGTGATTGCACTTAATTGGTTTGGCTATTTTATTAGGTTTCCCAATATTTTAAATAGAAAAGCTCTTTAGATCTCCATAAACTCTCTATGAAATCTGCATGACTTTATGAATATATGTAAAGTTACTATTATGTCATATTTTTGTAGGGCAAAAAAGAATTTCTTGAATTAATAATTTGTTTGAAAAACTCAAACCTTTCGTAAAGATATCGTTTCGCTACAAGGTTCGATAACCTGTGCAATTATGATGTGGATATCTTCTATACAAGCTTAATATCAGTTGAACAATGTGCTCAGTACTACATACAGTGGTATTTTTTAAATATATATGTCAGAATGCAAAATTGCCTTAGCGTAATCAACATATCAACAAGCGAGGCTCTGGCGACCAATTCGTGGCGGTATATCAGCATAAAGCTTAAAACCACAAATAGAAATCCACAAATAGAAACCCAATCCTGAAATTGGTTGTAGTGCCATCAGAACAAGTTCTAGTAACTCCGGTCACGTCGTAGTAAGCTAAGGCAATATTCCTCTAATGAGAGACCATTAAGAATTAAAGCCTCAGGTCACACTATTTTTGGCGACAGTACTCTTCATAGTATGATTGGGGGACCTAAGAATACTCGAGGTACGACAGGATACAAAAACCCGCCTATAGCTGTACATACATATACCTGGGGCTACTTTCACTTGCTGAACGACCACCATATTGGATGGAGAGTTAAGTAACTTGAACTGCCAGGTAATGGAGAGTCAGAAATTCCGAAGACTTGATAACGATATGATAACTCGAGGTACTAACCACAATTTTATTTGTCTGACTTTCAATCAACAAGTCGCACAAAGACGGTGTAAAAGTATGGAGCTATCGGCTAGGGTAGCATGTCTTATACAAAAAATCCTTCACAAAGAGGTACGTGATGTAATAAAATAAAATCTTTGTTTAGATTGTCACGTAATAAAATCTTTGTTTAGATTGTCATGGGTGACTTTAACACCAAATAGGAATAGGAAAATGGCGTATCGAAAGTAAGCTCATTAGCATTTGGAAAAAACTTGAGTTGCAGATGTTGGTAAACTTGATGCCACTTATTGTCATTGTTTTTAAATTGAAAATAGATAACTGTTCTCGATATAAATCATGAATGTCCAAGTATATTTAAGAGTACACTTGAATTGTTTTAATTAATAATAAATCAATGTACATTTAAAAAAGTTCTACTTTAACACACGTATTAAGTGATATTCATCTCTTTTAAATAAACTGTGATAATACCATCAATAATACCATTCAAAATTTATTATAATTTTTAAATTATTTCTACTAATTTCTAAATAATCTAAAAATAATGAGTAGTTTGTATTTTTCACGAATTTCTATAAACCACATATAATAAATAGTTTGGAAACAAAATATTTAGTAATTTAATCCAATATATACATTCATTCAAGGAAAATAGATCGATTTAAATCAAAATGTTTTGACAGAATCTAATCACGGTCTATTCTGTTTTCATTATAAGAATGAATAGGATAGTAATTGATATTTGTATATCTTTCTGTTCATGTTAAATCGGGTCACTATAAGAAAACAGACACTAAGAACACTAAACAGTCCCTGTCACCATCTCATTTTAATTCACCTTTTAAAAACTTTTAGCACAATAACGCTTTGAGACAACCTCCAGAGGTATTTCTCAGGGGACAAAAGATAAATTGTTACCTGCGTCAAAATTTATTTGGCAACATATATTTAAAGACAGTAATTTTTAGAGTAGCTCATATTATATAAGCTACTCTGAGAAACAAACGCGTTATGAAGTTTCACTATCTGCAATCTAAGCGTATTGTAGTTTAAGTCTCTGGAATTAATAAAATTAACTTTGTAGCGTAGTATTCATGATGGCGTTAGATTAAGAAATTTACTTATTTTGAAGATACATTTAAGAAACATTTCTGATTTCATTTTGTAAATAGTTTTATAGAAAGTAATAACAGCATAAGAAAATTATTGTAAATAGTATTATAGATAACAATAATTATTAATAAAAAATATATTTTATTATTGCAATTATAAAACCTATTTCATCATACGAATAAAGTTTTTACAATGGTTTCTACCCAAAAAACCTTTCTTTAAATCTAGCAGGTTCTTATTTCATATTTAAACCTACTTTAAATCTGTAGAATTCTAAACAATTAATACTTTCTCAGATGAAAACCCAAGAGTCATTGACTTTGTAATTTTTATACATAAAATAACAATTAATTATAATTTAGCATGAGTAAAAAATATAAAGTATTTTCTCATTGAAACTTAAAATATGCTCCGTGTAAGAAAAATACTTAAAAATATTTCTGCTAAAATTGGAATAAAATTATTCAATTGTAGTTTTTTAGCGAAATGGGTCTTAACAATTTGAAATATAGTTTCCATCGAGAAAGCGTAACACAAAGAGAATTATAAAAATAAAGAAACCGAGTTCACTTGCTATTTATTTTACAAGTTGTGTGACAATGCAAGAAACCTCATTTGTCATACAAAGGAATTTCAGCTGTCTGAAATTTCAAGATAATTGATTTCGTGCCTCTTTTTAAATGATTGCTTAAAATGTAGTCACACCTCTTAATATTCATCTTTATATGGATCTCAATAATTTGTATATTTCCACCTTTAACTTTTTTTCTTTTTTTCCTAGAAATTATGAATGATAAAAATATAAGGAAATTTAATACTCTTTCATAAAAACAAATAAAGATACAGATATTATATCAATGCATTTGTTTAGCAGAAATTGAATACAACTACGAAGACGAAGATGGTAGCGATGGCGACAGAGAACTACGGCCAATAGCTCGTCGGACGGGCAAACACATTGCCGCTGGCGAAGAAAGGCCGCGCATCAATTCCAGCCAACAAACGACCCCGATTGAAGGTAGGCTACATACATAGTTATATGTAACTGGGAATGTATTCGTATGTCACTCATACTTAGATTGAAGTCACTTTTTGACTAAATTAAAAATATAATATTGTTTAACTTGTGTCAGAACTAAAATATTAACCGGTTGAAAAAGTTAATTAAAGTTAATTATGAGAATGTTTTACGTAATATTCCGGGCTAAAGTCATTGAAAGTGCTCGTTAAGCTCCTCGATGAGTAGAATAACCAATATCAAATACAAATCGTTGATTGGCGTTAAGTTATTTTGAAAAAATTAATAGTGATACTACATTATTGAAAAATTTAAATGTTTTATTGACGTTTTAAGTAATGGATATTTAAGACGTTTTGGATATTTAAGACTTATACATTATAAATCATATTTGTACCTTAAAATATCAATCATATCAATTATATATGATTAATTTTAGTACACAAATCCAATATAACTAAGCTATGGGAACATGTTAATAAAAACTTAATATTATATGTTATTTGGAGTAACATTTTTTAAGAAAAACATGATCTACCTCTGGAATAGTGTTTCCTCAACACAAACTCTTTTTAACCGGTTAAATCTTAAAATGTTTTCAATATGTTTGATTTAATTGTGTCTAACATAATCCTATACAGACATAATCATGTCACATATTATGTTACTCTCAACCACTTTAACAAGAATACTAAATTCTTTCTCTTAAATCTTGTGATTTTCTATTTCTGTCTAGTGACATTTTACAAATTACAGATATTAATAGACGTTTGACGAAATATTCTTTCTGTTGTTGGAATAATTCAATAATTTCCTGCAGAATATAAAATAAATATCTGTAAACATAAAAACACCAACTTATAAAAATATTTCTATTAACTATTTCACGTGTAACGTGGAATTTCAATTCGTTTATCTCCCCCGCGTCAGATAACTCAATGACTGTGATTGCTTCGAGTAATTACTTTATTCTAATTGGGGTGTAAATGGTCACTGAGGAAATTGTCATATGAATTTTCTACTGATATGATATGATGGCCAAGCAAAGTAATAACATTATAACTGTAAACAATAAAAACCTTCTCAAATAATACAAATAAAACATGGGTGTTAGAAACATCCCTATTAATACTATAAAACAAAAAGTAATTCTGTCTGTCTGTCTCTCCGTCTGTTTGTTACGTTTTCACACCTAAATCGCTGAACAAATTTTGATTAACTTGGTATAGAGTTACATGAATCCTGAAAAAGGACACACGCTCTACCTTTTATTTCTATCCCGATCCCAATTCCGAATGTGACCCAAAACCCGAAACCACATTGGTGGAACCATGAAGTATAGTTCGGGCAGCCGCAGTGGCAGACTACAACTCTGATATAAATAAAATACTGAAATATAATACTGTGACGGAGTCACAGGCAACAGCTAGTAATGCAATAATTTTAAGGAAAATGAGAAAACATATTTTTTGCACCCATTAACGATAATTTATATTTTTTTTTTATGTATTTGGGTGAGTGAATCTTACTATTATATCTACTAACTTCTGTTATACATATACTACGGAATACCTTAAAATACGTTATCAGACAACATGTATATATTACATGTATTTTGAAGTGGGTATGTTTCATGCGAGTATATTTGTACCTTCATAATTCTTAAAACCCCTATCCAATAAATACTTTGGTATACTATTTATATTATTTATTATTTATTATATGTTAATGGTTAGTAAAAAATCATCGACTTAATTATTTAAATGTATTTATCAATACAATTCATAATAAGTTGAATTTCGCTTCTATTTTCAGTGTAGACTCAGAACTGTAATTTATACTCAAACGTCAAAGCATATTTTAAACTTGGGAATTGAGATGCACTCACACAATGCCATATAAATTGTCACTGACACAGATAGAAGCATCAATAGACATATGAAATGTCCCACTTTTTATTTATAGTTACACTTTGTTATGTGTATTAATAATAATCATCAATGTTCTGATGTTTCGCATTCAATGCAATACTAAACTTTTGATAAGCTTCAGATTAGAAACTATTACACAATTAATTTTTTGAAACTATTTATTATACTACTGTTATAAATGGTCCAGTATATCCCTTAAGTCTAAATGTACATTCATTATTCGTAAGGTACATTTATTATTCATATGAAATATAAATACAGTGAAAGTTGACTTTTAATGAAATATAAATCTAAAAAAGGATTTCGCTAAACGATCCTACGAAGGAGTTTTTCTGCTATAAAAACTGAATAGACAATTTTTCTACAATGTTAGCATAACGAACAATTAGAACGGGACGAAAGTTTTACCAGTTGCATTTTCGTTCGTTAATTTAAATTTGCTTCTATTATGAGAGATTTGCTCAAAGTCAAGACTGAATATTTGTAATTACACATATTCACGTTATTTTCCTTTTGTTTTTATTTATTCAATAAACAACGATATAAACAGCTTAACGTATGATTGTTTTGTAAGCGTTAAAATATTACAAGCAGCTTTCTTACGTTTGATCACAAAAACGTACAATTGTTACGATAATATCAGTGTCATGTCTGTGTATATAGTATATAATTATATTTAGTATATAATTTATTTAACGATTTGAATATAAAAAGTGTAAACTTCAAAAGTACGAGGAAATATTGTTATTGTAATAGCATTCGTGGAAATAGTAATAAAAGCCAGAATAGATAAATATTTATTAAACAGTAATTGTCGTTTCTTGTATATAATAATATCGTTTACAAGCAGCTGAGTTTTAATATATGAAATGAGTTTAAAAAGAAACATTTTATTATAATTTTCTTTTCCAACGAAAACTCCAAGTATCTTGGTATTTTTATTTTATTTCCTATATTATAAATAATATAGGGAATAAAATAAAGATGTCTTACGTAATTTATTTTGTGTTTCATTATGTGTTGTATATTTATTTACATTTTATTTTATTTTATTTATTTAAATTAATTTAATTGATTATTATCAATCAAAGGTGTTTAATAATTAAATAGTGCTTTATAAAATTACAAAAAACCACGTTATCCGAAATAATATAGGTACATCTTGTCAAATAGCCGCAAGGCCCTTTTACGACTGTCCAATCATTCAACCAACCCCCAACCAACAACCATTTTGAGAAAATATTACTAAATATATTATGAAACAAAATGATTGACGGAAATAACATTGATTATCTCGACTTGCTTTTATCGGATAGAAATATTGGCTGTCCCAAGAAAATACCGATAGTGAAATCGATAGTTCTTTGTTTAATTGCATATTTATAATGTTTTTATAAGAAGTTTTCTACGGATAACAAGTGTGGAAACGTTATTAATTTGCCATTTATTTTAAGTATGAGGTTGCCAGTCTAAGCTCACACAACCATATTAACTCTTTTCGTAAGCTTCACTATCCTCGATGCAGCGATACTAGGGAAATTATAAGCAATGTTCTTGAAATACGCAGTTTCATATTCTATAATTCATATAAATATATATAAATAAAAAAATAATATTTTATGACGTTTCAATAAAGTCTTTTCTCCTTATTTTTATGGATTCTTTCAGATATTGTATTTATACATAGATTGTTTATTTTGAACGAGTAATTAAAAAAATAACATTAAAATACACTAATTACGATGTTTAAGAACGGTAATTTGTAAGGCTTGATATGTCATGATAGAAATTCTAACATGGCTATGGCTTAGAGGTTAACGATAAGTGAAAATAAATAATGTAAAATGAGATGTATTCATTGACAGTTATGGATTATAAAGTGAATAATTTCAACTTATATCCTGTTTTTAAAAAAATGCTAAATACATAGTATTAATTCTGTATATTTTTGTTAGAATATTTTTAATAGATATAACAAGTTATTAATTATACGAAACGTTTGGTTTGTTTCCACAATTAAGAAAATTGCAGTTAATATCAAATTCGGTTAATGTAAATAATTTTAAGTTAATTTAAATGGAGTAAATATTAAATGATGTCTCAAAATTTACGAGTGCTTGTAATATAATTTTTGCTTTTTTTTATTTTAAAGTCTTCCGTTCAATAAATAATTAAACAATCTGTAACTTAGCACGACTTTTTCAAAATGTTAATCATTTATTTTTTATTTAAATTACATGAATATTATTAGAAATAAAATGATATCATTTAATATTTTTTCCAGTAAACTGAGGCTATAAAAATAGGTGTTATTACAGATTTCGAGGCGCTCTAATCTAATTATTTTCCCTTCTGAGTTAGTCACGGTTAACATGGTTGGTAAAGTGATTTCAGTGTTGTTTTTCTGAGTACTGCACCATAACCTGTAGCTGACATTTAAAATTTACATATACACTATGAAAGGTGTATATATATTTAAATAAAAATTGTAAGTCATATTAAAAGTTGCACTTCTCTCCAGAAAATTCTACGTCTATGATAGAGAAATACTACAAAAGAAATCATTGAAGGGAATCTTGGCATTCGTTGTGACGTTGTTCTAGAACATTATTCATAAAACATCTCCAATTCAAAATAATTCTTTAAAAAAAGATCAGCAAGCAAAAAGCTTTCAACACAAAATATAGGATGAATAGTAAATTTATTTTTATCAAAAATAAAAAAAATCGCGAATGTTAAGTAGTAAAACGATTTTGTAAAAGAAGTTTAAATGAGGAGAATATTCTTCAGGTTTTAATTTGGATTATTTGTATTCGCCATACGCCCACCTTCCTCGATAACTGAGACTAATCCTGTAACTTGTCCAATTAATTACATAATTAATGTCCCTTTTTTAAATTATTGCACGTTATATGAATTTTTAACTTAGGAAATGATTTTATATTTCTTTAAGTTACAACACTGTTGGACTTGACCAAAATATCGATAACAAAATTAATATTTGAAAATAAAAAAGTATGAAACCGTTTATTGTTCGAGTATGATTCAATTATAGTTAAATTGCTCTTG